ACCTCACCTGACTAACTGGTGAAAAATACTTAGTGACTGACTGGTTAAGCTCCAGTCACGCTAGAGTTTCTACCCAGAATAAATCCACCGTAGCGTCGATTTTTCAACGAACTCTCAAGTTGCCTCTACAGCGACAACTTATTTTTTGTCGAAAGTGGGACGATACGGAGCGTCTGAAAATCCACGGTACGGTGGGATGAAAATTGCTATACACAATCTATTGTATTAATAAAATTTACACCGTTCTTATGTTTTCTTATTATTGTTAAAATGTACTAAACATATAAAAAGTATATTTCAATAACAAAACACGAGCAAAAATGTCAAAGTTTAATAAAAGAAAAAAGTAAGAATAATACATCACGAAGGGAATTTCATTGACTAAGAGAATTTGCGTCACTTTTCTCAACAAACATCGCTTGGAAGCTTAAAACACACACCAAATTTCCGTGATGGATACTGCTACCCACAGTCGTTTTTGTATCGTCTTGGTCTTCTTTAACAATACCACATATCTCACTAAAGCGGTTAATACTGCCATAGACACATACAATGAAGTCATCCTGCACTCCAACTAGCCGTGCGAGCTGGGCCGATGGTTCCTTTCGCCAGTGTGACCAGCGTGTGTGAATCGTACCGTAGACTTATTGCCTGTGGATGAAATGCTATCGTGGATTTATTGCACGGAAAACTCTAGTGAGACGATAATATTTGATCAAATACATTTCAATCATGCACTCGTTTTAATTTCCTTAAGCGAGAGAGTGTGTGTGAGTGTGTGTGTGTAATCGGTCATGGTTAACCTACACACAGATGGTTCAACAGACAGCTGGTTCAACAGACAGCTGGTTCAACAGACAGCTGGTTCAACAGACAGCTGGTTCTACCTATACAGTAGTCACCAGCTGCGCCCGTCAACATCAAAAGAGGTTTAATAATCAGGTCTCATAAAAGTAATTAACTCCACAGGTGAACTACAGGGTGGGAGTTGCATTATGACTCGCCCAGGTAATCAACACTCACTCTACCTGCCAACACTACACACACCTGCCAACACTACACACACCTGCCAACACTACACACATCTGCCAACGCTACACACCTGCCAACACTACACTTCACACACACATACACCTGCCAACACTATACATATATACATACCTAAAAACACTACACACACCTGCCAACACTACACACCTGCCAACACTACACTTCACACCTAGCATCACTACACACACACACGTTATTCTGTACAGGGAAAAATGGAGTGTAATAATATATTTTTTTTGTAACTTTAGAATATGTTTGTTTGTTTTCTTGTTGATCGAGTGTTGTTGTTGCTGTTGTTTATCCTACTGTTACTGTTTATTATTATTATTATTATTATTATTTGATTTCTGTAAATAGTTATCATTATTACACTGTGTCTTAGTATTATTTATCTTATTATTAGTGTTATTATTATTATTACCCTATTATTTAATTAATAACAATAATATCCTTATTTATTTTACATCTTTATTATCCACCTTCTCCTCCAGTTCCCCTCTTCGTAAACCAAACCAATCCTCTCCTCCCCTTCTTTATCATCATCTCTGTTAACTTATCTAATTCCTCATTTTACTCCTTCGCTTCCTCCTTTCAGTCTCAGGTCGTCGGTACACCAGAAGTGGGTCAGGTCGCCTTATTGAATTGCTGAGTGAGTAAAACCTGGGAGAAGGAGGAGGCGGAGGGAGGGTGTTAACCATACGCCTGCCACTACCGGTCTGCCCAAATCTCTCTATCACACAGCTTTATAGACTCCCACTACCCCCCCCCCCCCCTGTGTTTGTGCTGGTGCCAGTCAATGTTTTTTTTTTTTAATTAATATTTTAATATGTTTGGGCTTTTTAACTTTTATTTTTTTTGCTTTACTGTTTTATTTGATATTTATTCTTTTCTTTTTTTATTACGATATTTGTTTAATGTTATGTATATATGTTTATGTATAATGTATTAAATGTATACTAAGTAATTTCTTCTGCTCTACAGGTTATATAATAGTAGAATGTGTTTTTTTCTATTAACTATATCTAACTCCGGAACGAAAGATTAGATGGAAATAGATAAAACTAAAATAATTATATATAGGTTCATATTTTAAAGGGTTCATTTTAGGGGCTCAGGGATTTATATTTTAAAGGGTTCATTTTAGGGGCTCAGGGATTCAGATTTTAAAGGTTTCATTTTAGGGGCTCAGAGGTTCATATTTTAAAGGGTTCATTTTAGGGTCTCAGGGATTTATATTTTAAAGGGTTCATTTTAGGGGCTCAGGGATTCAGATTTTAAAGGTTTCATTTTAGGGGCTCAGAGGTTCATATTTTAAAGGGTTCATTTTAGAGGTTCACTGAAGTTAGTGGGATATACAGACACAAAAGGCTCTCTCTCTGTTGGAGATAGTGTTGGAGGAAGTGTTGGAGATTGTGTTGGTGGTAGTTTTGGGGATAGTGTTGGAGATAGTGTTGAAAATAGTGTTGGAGGTAGTGTTGGAGATAGTGCTGGAGGTACTTTTGAAGGTATTGTTGGGGGTATTGTTGGAGGTGTTGGACATAGTGTTGGAGGATGTGTTGGAGGTAGTGCTGGAGGAAATGTTGGAGACGGTGTTGGAGGGTAGTGTTGGAGATAGTGCTGGAGAGTGTTGGAGGGTAGTGTTAGAGATAATGTAGGCGGCAGTGTTGGAGGGTAGTGTTGGAGAGAGTGCTGGAGAAAGTGCTGGGGATAGTGTTGGCGGCAGTGTTGGAGATAGTGTTGGAGGTAGTGTTGGAGAGTGTTGGAGGGTAGTGTTGGCGGCAGTGTTGGAGATAGTGTTGGAGGTAGTGTTGGAGATAGTGCTGGAGAGAGTGTTGGAGATAGTGTTGGCGGCAGTGCTGGAAATAGTGTTGGAGGAAGTGCTGGATGTAGTGTTGAAGGTAGTGTTGGAGGTAGTGTTGGAGGAGGACAGAATGCACTCAACGTAGGATCAAGTATGAAACAGGGTGTGAGACTCCCACCTTGTACCCTGAGTTTTTGATGAGACCTGTGACCACCTGCCACCACCTGCCACCACCTACTGCCACCACATGCCATTACCACCTACAACCACCACATGCTGCTGCCTGCCACTTAGCACAACCTACCACCACCTGTGACCACTTACCACCACCTGCCACCACTTACCACCACCTGCCACCATCTACCGTCAACACCACTTACCATCACAACAACCATCAGCCACCATCTGTAACCATCAAGCCCCCTCTAGCGTCTTCTCTTTATGGGAGAAAGGAGAGATCACCACAACGGCAAATGGCTTACTAACCTGACTTTTGGCACCACACACACACACACACACTGCTGGAAGGCTTTGAAACGCGACCTTGCAATATCTTAAAGACGAACACCTCCCCATGCCTCCTCCCCACATCACCTCCCCCCATCCTCCTCCCCATCCCTCCCCCCTCCCCATCACCCCTCCTCCCCCATCACCCCCCTCCCCATCACCCTCCTCCCCCATCACCCCCCGATGACGGTCAGAAGGGTACCGACCTCACCTGACCTAACATTGTGACCTCGTGAATACTTTAAGGAGAGGTCATCTGGCACGATCTTCACCTCTGACCTTTAACATAAGAACATAAGAATGGAGGAAACTGCAGCGGGCCTATTGGCCTATACTGGGCAGTCCCGTTTACACCCAACCCCTATTGCTCATATAAGCATCCAACCTATTTTTGAAGCTATTCAGCGTATTCAAGTTAATGATGATGTTTGGTAACTTGTTCCATTCGTCCACTACTCTATTTCCAAACCAATGTTTACCTATTTCACGCCTAAATCTAAATTTGTCTAATTTAAAACCATTGTTACGAGTTCGCTCCTGGTTGGATAGTTTGAGTACCTTTGTAATGTCCCCTTTGTTTAGCCCTGACTTCCACTTATACACCTCTATCAGGTCGCCCCTCGCCCCTACTCCGCCTCCTTTCCTGGTCTGCCTATCGGTATGGAACAATTTGTAACCCGCAATTTGGTATTCGACTGGTAACTCACGTGTGTCTAGGTTGATCCATGTTTCAGTGAATGCTATTATATCGATTTTTTTCGGTACATACCAAGGCCCTAATATCATCCATTTTGTTTCTCATACTTCTACTGTTCGCGTAGTAGACATTTAAGTTAGTCGTGTTCTGAGTCCTCCCTTTACCGCGTTTAGTTTTAAACTCCCTGTTTAATATAGTTTTGTCATCATTCCTAAGACTATTTCCCTGTAATCTTTTACTTTGTTTACCCGCTCCCACTGCAGTTTCCCCCACCCCCGTGCCCATATGTTCCCCTAGCAGGAGCGGTAATATTCTCTTGAGTATTCTCGTTTAATACATGTAATACTCTCGTTCAATAGGGGGGGAGGGAGGTAAATAATCAGGTTAATATATTCGTCCAAGAAGAATATTCGATCAATGGGATATTTATTTTTGTCTGTGTAATATTCTCGTCTAAGACTAATATAATATCCCCCCCCCCACACAAAAAAAATATTCCTATACTGTGGAATTAAAAGGAAAATTATTAATCTTCCTCTTGGACAAATATTGAAATTTTTTCGATATTCTCTTGATATTACCCAAAGGTATATTACCTGTACTCGTAGGTGCTGGAGGTCGCCGTCACCTCTCAGGTCTGGTAATACTCTTGATATTACCTTAAGTCTGGCTACAATTATTTTAGACTTACCAAGAGGAAAAAATATCAAATTCAAGAAAATTTCCGAAAATATTCCCTTAAGAATGGCGTAAGGTGAAATACTTTGGGTGTTTATACAAGGGAGTATGATCTATTATGTATTGTAGGTTGTAAGTATTTGTGTATTCTCTTGTATTCTTGAGAGTGTATTGTGTTCACTCACTTACAATATTCTCACTTAACCTAACCTAACCAAATCTAACTTGAAAGGAAATTTAACTCCATGTAATCTTTCTCTGCTTCAGGTCCCACTGGAAGGACTTTGAGTCGTCACCCTGAGGACAGCCAGCAGCAGGGCAGCAGGAGGAAGATAGAGAACACCCCTCACCCGCTGTACGGCCCCCGGACACAGCACCCGCAGCAGAAGGACGCTCAAACACAGCATACACAGCAGAAGGGTGTCCACTATCCCCAACCCAGGGAGGCGGTACACGTCCCCCAACAGGTGAAGGGAACACAGCATCCACACCCAAAGGAGATACAACAACAGCAGAGAGGAACACAGCACTTACAGCAGAAGGACGTGACTAAAATCAACGATCTCCAGTTACAGCAGATCAAGTTCCAGCAACAGCAGCAGAAACAGCAGGAGGCAGAAGACCATGATAGCAAACTGGTCCACCCCATCAAGACACAACAGAAGAGAGAAACAGCAGAGTGTCAGGAAAACCAGAGGCTAAGACAGCAACAGGTTCAACAGCTTCAACGTGAGGGAGAAAAACAGGAGGCCTTGAAACAGCAGCAACAACAACAGGTGAAGGTGAAACAGGTGCAGAAGACCCCAAGGATCGATATACCTGTACAGAAACACCGGGCGGGGGAGGAACAGTACTACAGGGACCAACATTACCAACAACTCATACGTGCTGGGTCACTAGGCAGCGGAGAGCCAGCGGCCATCCTCGAACAGCGTCGAAGTCGATCTCCTCTACCAATACCCGGCCGAGCACAACCCACCAGCGACACCAAGGGGTTCATCCCGCCTATAACCTCGTCGTCTTCTCCTCGGTCCACTGAGCTCACAGGTGCCGGGAAGGACCGTAAGAATAGTTTGACCAAGAGCCAGGAAGTTAGGGGTCCATTTTCACAGGAGTCAGTCAATGTCGAGCGATCCAGGACTGTTGATAAAGGTCACACTAACACCGGGAGGTCACCTGATGGTGCCACGAAACCTGCGTCTCTCCCATACACAGGTACAGCCGCGGCAGGTGAAACTCGGACGGATGTGATTCGCGCGGCAGCCAAGGCCTACACAGAGAACTTCCAGACATATTCTTTCTCTGGATACCTGACCAAAAACCGCAAGGACTCCACGACAGCCAAAGAATCTCCCGTCACAACCAAGGAGAACATCGATATCTCCTCAGAGGTGAAGCTTCCTCCTGCAGGTACCAACACCTCACACGAGAACGAGGCCAAGACCAACAACACCACCGTCACCAACACCTACAACTCCACCGCCAAACCCTACACCAGAGGGACGGCTGGGAAGATCATCGTCCCTCTCACATCGTTCGTGCCTGCCAGTAAGTCCTCAGAGGTCGTAACAAACCTCGATAAGATCATACTAAAGGATCCACTCGGCGGAGACAGAGAACAAGGTCCTCACAAGCCCAGCACCACAGAGGTCACCAGGGACGCCTCCACCACAACAACTACCCCAGCAACAAAACCTGCCGCTCACAAACCCACCGAACAAACCAAAGGTAAAACTCAGACCAAAGAACAAACACAGAGCAACACCCAACACCAACAACAACAGCCTCGAGGACACCACCATAAGGAACAACCCACAAAACCAACGCGTGAAAAGACCGTCAGTAGCGGGAATTCCTCGAACTCATCCTCGACCACCTCCCGCGGGTCTTCCACATCTACTCCCACCGGCGGCAACAAGAAGCCGCCTAAGATCCTGCCGCCGTTACTCAGCGGCCTCAAGTTCCCCCTCGGCGGCGACAAAATGAAGGGCAGTAGTGAAGGGGCGCTCCTGGTGGTGTGTCGGGTGGGGGAGGAGGACCAGGTGGTGAGGCTCCTGAAGGAGTTAACAGCCACTGGAGCCCTTGAAGCTACAGAGGTCAACCAGGCCGACCGCTCCGGCAGGGTAAGTAACCTAACCTCTTCTCCTCACTTAAGTTCCTCTCACTTCTACAGGTTAATTATTGTATCACTAAAACTCCCACATTGACCACGACGAAGGAGGAAGCCACATTTTCCAACATCTTAAATTATCAAAGTCAAACAATATAGTAACTCCCTTGACCATATATCACCTCCCTTAGCTTCTACTGAGTGATACAAACCCCAGCTTCAACTATCATTCTTCTGTACATATACGTCCATAATTCCCTGGACACTTTAAGGCTTCTCATTATCTACCTGAGGCGAGGATGGTGAGTATTAAACATCTTTTGGGGTTTTTTTTCTTTGTTTTAAGTTTTGTTGTTGTTATTTTCCTGTGTTGTTGTGGTGAGAGTAATTAATGCTATGTCTGTCTTGTTTTATGGTTGTGAGTGTTCTTCACCATCACAATATTGGTTCACTATCACTCCTTATCATTCACTATCGGCCTACAGGTAACGTCACTCACAGCTCGTCACTCACACCTGCCTATGTCACTCCTCCGCCTCAACACCTCATCTGCATATACCAACACACCTCCTGGGAATTGTCTGGTAATATGTGTACACCTCACAGGCTAGACAATAAATTTAATCTAACTTCTAATTAATTTTGCTTTTATATTAATTAATTTTGATATTATATACAAAAAAAATCCCAGTGAATTTATTTTTGGGGAGTATTAAAATTTTCCTCATATTTTTTTTATATTAATTAATTTTGATATTATATACAAAAAAATCCCAGTGAATTTATTTTTGGGAAGTATTAAAATTTTCCTCATATTTTTTTTTATAGTTTTTTGGAAATTTATTGGAAGAAAAAATCATAAAAAATAAATTAAATCTTTCAATTGTAATGATAAAATTCTCATGGTATAAATTCATTCTGGGATTTAATTTAAAACGTTATATTAAATCCGTCTGATATTTAGAGAAAAAAAATTGATTATATAAAAGCACTAAACTTATATCACACTACAAATGAATATATAGATAAAATATTCCAAAATAAAATAAAAAATAACTAAAAATTTATATCACACAACAAAATAATCTCATAATTACTAGTTGATGGACGAGTATAATTACCAATCTTGTTACCCCCTTAACGACCGAACAGTAGTTGTTGAAGTACAGTTACAACAACAACCTCAACAACATTACAACTCAGAATTCTTTAATCAAATTTGGCGAACGAAAAATTATTATTATTTACATATTTTTTTTTATTTGTTTATAAAGATGTTGGATTACCTGAAGATTAGACACCCTAGTTTAATTAACTAACCTAATGCTACCTGAAGGGATTAGGTTTGGTTAGGTTAGGTTAGTGATAAATTTGATTAAGTTAGGTTAGTTTTAAGTTAATTTAGGTTAGATTAGGTTAAGGTAGAGTGGTTAATCTTCAGATGAAATAAACTGGTGGGCCATAACTTCAGGTGATCCAAAATGTCTTAATATTTCAGTGAGTTAAGTATATGTCTGTTGTTTATACTGACTCACCCTGTAATTATTTCTCCTGTGTGTGTGTGTGTGTGTGTGTGTGTGTGTGTGTGTGTGTGTGTGTGACAAAAACGTAATTTATTTTTCATTTTGTATTGTTTATTTTTCCCTTCACCTCCTCCCCTTCCCTCCATCTCCTCTTATTCCTTCCACCTCCTCCTCTTCCTTCCTCTTCCCACCATCTCCTCCCTTTACCTCCTCTTCCACCTCTTCCCTTCACCCCCTCCATCTTCTCCCCTTCCCTTCACTTCCCTTCCCTTCACTTCCCTTCATGTATCTAATCACTTCTATTGTCATCCCTCTCCCCCAGGGCACAGGTGGCTATTGTATTCTCTGTACTGTGTATATGTCTGTGTGTGTGAGGACTTCCACTGTTCCCCCCACGGCTCAGTCAACGCCCGCTGGTGCTTCCCGACTGCCCATAACTTGCCCTCTGGTTGTGTCTGGTTCATTCTGCTCCGCCTCTGATCGCCTCTCGTCGTCTCTGGTCGCCTCTGATCGGCTCTGGTCGGCTTTGGTCGCCTCTGGTCGTCTCTGGTTGCCTCTGATCGGCTCTGGTCGGCTTTGGTTGCCTCTGATCGCCTCTGGTCGTCTCTGGTCGCTTCTAATCGTTTCTACTCAGCTTTCCTTATTTCTGCAAACCTTTCATAGTCTCTAATCGCTTCTGCTCGCCTTTCATCGCCTCTCCTCGCCTCTGCTCGCCTGTGGTCGGCTCCCTTCACCTCTGTTCGCCTCTTGTCGTCTCTGCTCGCCTTTCCACGCCCACTAGCAGGTGTCAGCGAGGTTAGGCTGTGACCCTTTTAAGTTATTTACACGCACCTTCCTGACACAGGTGCGCGCTCTCTCATCCCTTCCTCCTCATCCTCCTCTCCTTTCCTCCTCCAATCCTCCTCCTATTCCTTCCTCCCCTCTCTACCTCCTCCTCCCCTCCCCTTCCTTCTCACTGACGTCACTAGATACCCTTGAACCCCCGTAGACACACTAAGCCGCGTCTATAACTCAAGATTCTCAAAGGTTCGTCAAGTTAAGAATGTTTCCTCGTAACTGGTCATGTGAGAACGTGTCTACCTCACTCACTTAAACCCTCCAAGAGTACGATGACTTAACCCCTTGAGGACGATGACTTAACCCCCATAAGTACGATGACTTAATCTCTGGAGTACGATGACTTAATCTCTGGAGTACGATAACTTTAATTTCTTCAGTACGATGACTTAACCACCTTGAGTACAATGACTGAAATCCTTAAGTACGATGACTTAAGTTCTCAAAAGCTCTTCTCAGTTAAATATCCTCCTTAAATGATAATATAACCATGTATCTACCTAACCTAACCTAACCTACGACACAAAAAGGAATTCCCAAAGGCCCATACGTTATAACATACCTCGTAAAACTTGCATAAACCAAGCAAAATGGCGGTACAAGTACGTTGAGACTTTACAAACAATTACATACGTTCTCTTATATCCAAGACGGCGACAGATTTGCCCTCAGACTAAAGATATGACTATATACATTCTCTTATATCCAAGATGGCGTCACATTTACACTGAGACTTTATAAACACGATTAAATACGGTCTTTTATAATCCCAAGTGACCGGGACATTTAAGAGGAAAGATTTGGTCGTAAGATTTTTTGGGGATGGTTACAGGACACAGCCTGCAGGTCGATAGTGTGCCTGCCTTAAGACAAAACCCTCGACCTCTCCACCTCCACCACCTGTCTTACCTCACGTGTCTAGTTGTTTCTTTGTTTTCTTATTGTTGTTTTATAAATTTCTAGTCAGAATTTTTTAAAGTGGTGTATGTGTGTGTGTGAGACAGGTGACAGTTAATGACAGATGATGACAGTTTAATTTACAATCACACATCCCTCCTTTCCCTTCCCTCACCCCCTTCCCTTTCCCTCTACCTCTCAATCCTTCCCCTTCTCTCCTCCTTAACCCCCCCCCCTTCCCCTCACTTCCCAATAACCAAAACTTTTCACAAAACTCAAATTCATTCTGGACATAATTATGATCTCCACGTAACACAAAATAACTATAAACATTGCACTAAACATCAAATTAATCTCCTTCATCATAAACACATTATCTGATCTTAATTAAACACTAGTACTCTACCTGCCCGGCGGGAGAGGTTTAATTACCGTAAAAGCGAGGCGTCACACACCTGGTAGACGGATTCCTGCCTCGTATAGTGCACCTCGCTAAACGTAAACATTGAACTAGTGAAGAGAGAGAGTCACACTTCATCAGTCATCACTGTTATTGCAGCCTCAGGCCGTACAGGTGTCGGCGCTTACCTGAATCATGAGCAAATGTGTGTACTGAACTGTCTGACAAATTTATAATTAGGCACGAAATAGGTAAACATTGGTTTGGGAAAAGAGGAGTGGACGACTGGAACAAGTTACCAAATATCATCATTAACTCGGACACGCTGGATAGCTTCAAACATAGGTTGGATGGGTATATGAGCAATAGGGGCTGGGTGTAAATGGGACTGTCCAGTATGGGCCAATAGGCCCGCTGCAGTTTCCTCCATTCTTATGTTCTCGTGTTCTTATGTTTGTCTGTCTGTCTGTCTGTCTCTCTACCTTTTTCTCCATCTATCCATCCATCCATCCATCCATCCATCCACTCTGTCTCGCTCTCTATCTATCTATCTATCTATTTATCTCTCTCTCCCTCCATCTAACTATCTACCTTTTTTCTCCATCTATCCTTCCATCCTTCCATTCATTCATCCATCCATCCATCCAACTCTCTCTCTCTCTCTCTCACTCTCCGCCCTGAGAAAGTACTCTAAATGCGTACTATGTGATGTGTTTCGTAAATTCCAACCCCTACCACATACTATACGCAATTAATCTTCACCTGCCTATAACAATGGCGTATCTTAATTAATTCTATATACAAGTATGACCTCTAGTTGATATAGTGTGCCAGAATTATATATGATAGTATAGGTTTACGTTGAGTCTATAGTAATCCTGTACCTCCCATTAACGGAATATCCCCTTTAACGGAACCTCCCCACCACCTCCCATTAACTGTGTGAATTAACAGACAGAGACATATATACATACATACATACATACATACATACATACATACCTACATACATACATACTGTCGTGCTTCACTAAAACAAAGGCATATAAACAATGTTACCTATATAAACAATGTTACCCCGAACTTTGATTAAACATAAACACGATATACGATTTACGAGCCGATGTTATATAAATGTGAGAAAAATACAATATACAGACTAAGCTCTTTATCGACGTTTGACTTCCTCTCCCACTATTCCAAAATCCTAAGTCATCACTAGAAGCTGTGACGTAACCTTGGGTGGGGGGTGGGGGAGGTGTGAGGGGTGGATGGGTGAGGGGGTGGAGGTGGTGGAGATGGGTGGAGGTGGTTGGATGGGTGGAGGTGGAGGTGGTTGAAGATGGGTGAGAGGAGATGGGTGGAGGGGTGGAGGTGGGGTGAAGATGGGTGAGGGGTGGAGGTGGTTGAAGATGGGTGAGGGGTGGAGGTGGTTGAAGATGGGTGGGGTGGTTGAAGATGGGTGAGGGGTGGAGGGAGTGGTGATGGGTGAGATGGGTGGAGGGGGTGGAGGTGGTTGAAGATGGGTGAGGGGTGGAGGTGGTTGAAGATGGGTGGGGGGGAGGGGTGGAGGTGGAGTGGTTGATGGGGGGAGGCACCTATGTCAAGGTAGAGATATACTTCATGACTGGAGGGGGGTGGGGGGGGTGAGAAGGAGGAAGGAAGGAAATATATTTATATCCAACCATAATCTTCAAGACTGTGAGGAAAGTGTGGGAATTGTGGGGAGGGAAGAGAATCCAGTTACCAGTCGTTCACGGTTTAGCTAGAGGCCACGGACGCTAAAGGTAACAATGATAATAACAGAGACAGGTGTGTTGACTTACCTGTGGGAGGTGTGTTCTGTTCCCCGCTGAGTTGATAACGTGAAGCTGCTACCTGAAAAGAAGAATAAATTAGTGAAATAACACCAACTGATGTCCAGCCACACACACACACACACACACACACACACACACACACACACACACACATCAACTTTCGGTCAATGGCGAGGAGGACAAGGGCAGGAGGGGGTTGACAAATGGCCACCGATAATACCCTAAACATTACCTCTGAGGACCCATTTTCGAGGCAATTTACTCTAACTGCCAAAGGCATTCCCACACAAACAACTTCTTCCCGCTGGGTGAGAGGAGGAACGGGAAGAGAGGCAGGGAGGAGAGATCAAGCCCTGAAAGTCCACGAGTTGAGAGAGAGAGAGAGAGAGAGAGAGAGAGAGAGAGAGAGAGAGAGAGTATTCGACCTCAGAGGTTTTCCCTCCTATACCTACTACCACATACTAGTGGTAACACAAGGCCATATCTCACTAATCCACCTCATCTACGACATAAAAACTGGATTATATTGATCAGATACTCGTACATCCACATCGGCTATATGATTCGTCAACAAAAATGCCCACAAATACCCGCCTTTACCTGACCTTTTCAAGATACAGGTGTTCTCGTCCAATCAGATAAAAGCACAGGTGTTCTCGTCCAATCAGATAAAAGCACAGGTGTTCTCGTCCAATCAGATAAAAGCACAGGTAGGCCAGATGAAGAATTTGGCCCCCTGGAAAATTTGACAGGTGTTGTGGTTACCCTTAATCACCTTCCTCAATCTTTCAGGGCACACACACACACACACACACACACACACACACACACACACACACACACACACACACACACACACACACACACACACACACACACACACACACACACACACACACACACACACACACACACACACACACACACACACACACACACACACACACACACACACACACACACACACACACAGAGTCTCCTGGCGTTGTGTTCATGATAGAGTTTAGTGAAATAACAATTTGACTTTAAATAAGCGTTAGTGAAATGAGAAACTGACTTAAAAGATAAATGATTTCCCTTTTGCATTTTCTTGCATAAGGCCAGATTCTTAAACGTTCGTAAATACACCGAGACTTTACCTTAACTAGATACATTCACTTAGCACCAGTTAGGAGACAAAATTAACACCGAGACTCTACCTTAACTAGATACATTCACTTAGCACCAGTTAGGAGACAAAATTAACACAACATTAAATCAATTTGCAATAAGGCAATATTTCAGCACTGTGGAATTTCAATCTCAGTATTAAAAAAACAAAAAAACATCACATTGCAAGAGTCCGGACGCTTTGCAATATTGAAGACTGTCAGCGGATGTTGCAAAGACCCGGGCATAACCTTCACCTATGACCTATTGCAATAACAGGTGAGCTTACTTTGATGGCTTGCAATGTTGCACACAGTGATAGTTTAATGACCCGTATCAAAGGTAGTGTTATGAGTGTTATTACAAGGTACACACACACACACACACACACACACAAACACACACACACACACACACACACACACACACAAGGTCTCCAGACAACAACAAAAGTCTTATTGATCTATTATGACTCTTGGGAATTAAAGATGGTGTGTGTGTGTGTGTGTGTGTGTGTGTGTGTGTGTGTGTGTGTGTGTGTGTGTGTGTGTGTGTCAGTCGTTTCTTGTATTATTATCCGTTCGTTTTTTCTTATCTTTCTTATTAATTATTGGAATAGCGAAGACAGGAAGGATGTATAATTGCCCAGACAGACAGACAGACAGACAGACAGACAGACAGATACAAACACATTTTACCACACAAACGAGATGAACAAAAAGACACACATTGAACAAACTCTGTGAACCAACACGAGACCACGGGCGATAGGTATTGCGATAGGGGGTATATTATCACCTCATACTTCGTTTATGTTGTTCCTATAAACCAAACTCACTCCCCGTGTTGAATGGCGGTGGGTTAAAGACACACATACCAACCCTCCTGAGACATCACGAGTTATACGTATAATTTCAGAAGACATCGGAACCCACCCTGTTAGACTTACTTCTTTCCAGCTATACTGTACATAAGGAAAACCGCAAAAAATGGAACTTAACACCTTATATGAATACTAATGATACGATTCAAAACCACTACTTTCCTTCCCCACCTCACCCCACCCCTCTCCCTCTCTCTCTCTCTCTCCTACAGTAACTACCCCCCTCCCTCCCTCCATCTCTCTCCATCACTGCTAATCACTCTCTCTCTCTCTCTCCCACAGACACCATTGAGCTACTCGTGCGCCAACGCCTTCCAGAGGGTAGTGGAGACCCTCACAGCTCTGTCTGGTGTGGAGATCAACAAACCGGACACTGATGGCAACACGCCCCTGCACTACGCTGCTCAGGCCGGTGAGTGCTGTGGCTAGGATAATCCCCATGTGTAAGAATATTCCCCATGTGTAAGAATATTCCCCATGTAAGAATATCTCCCCATGTGTAAGAATATTCCCCATGTGCAAGAATATTCCCCCACGTAAGAATATTCCCCCCATGTGTAAGAATATTCCCCCCATGTGTAAGAATATTCCCCCCATGTGTAAGAATATTCCCCCCACGTGTAAGAATATTCCCCCCATGTGTAAGAATATTCCCCCCACGTGTAAGAATATTCCCCCACGTGTAAGAATATTCCCCAATTCGAGAGGCAGTGATAAAGCGAGAATTCTATTAGTTAAAACTTGTGGTGGATCAGCCTTCCTCCTTCCTCCTTCTTCCTTCTCTCCTCTTCCTCCTCCCCTTCATGTTGGCGGTGGCGAGACTACTGGATATCGTCACATATTATCGTCTTTAAATGTTGAAGGCAAGGGCTGTAGGTGTGGTGGCTGTGAGGAGCCACTGCAGGTGCTGGGTGGCTGTGAGGGGCTACTGTAGGTGTGGTGGCTGTGAGGGGCTACTGCAGGTGGTGGCTGTGAGGGGCTACTGTAGGTGTGGTGGTTGTGGAGGGAGCTACTGTGGTGGTTGTGAGGGGGCTACTGTAGGTGTGGTGGTTGTGAAGGGGCTACTGTAGGTGTTGGTGGTTGTGAGGGGGCTACTGTAGGTGTGGTGGTTGTGAGGGGGCTACTGTAGGTGTTGGTGGTTGTGAGGGGGCTACTGTAGGTGTGGTGGTTGTGAGGGGGCTACTGTATGTATGTATGTATGTATGTATGTATGTATGTATGTATGTATGGATGTATGTATGTATGACTGCCTGCGCTACATCTCAATCTCCTACAGTACACGAAAGTAGGCCGTAGTAAAGCTGGTAAATAAACTCGATAATGTATACACACACACAACATGGGTTCAATCCCTCATCCCCGCTAAGCACCTTCATCTCTCACCCACCTAATCCTTCTCCTCCTCCTTCTATCTTTCCTTCACCTCTTTCTGCTCCTCCTCCTTCTGTTCTTCATTCTCCTCCTCCTTCTACCTCTCCTTCTCTTCCTTCTTCTCTTCCTCCTTCTACCTCACCTTCTCCTCCTTCTACCTCACCTTCTCCTCTTTCTCCTCCTCCTCCTTCTACTGCTCCTCCTTCTCCTCCTTCTTCTCCGCCTCCTTCTGCTTCACCTTCTGCGTCTCATATGAATAATCCAGTAGAGGTCAAGGTGTACAGCTTGCCCTTAGAGGTATAGGGGGTGGAAGAGGGGTAGGTAGGGGTAGGGGAGGGGAGGGGGTATGGTAGGGGTGGGGGAGGGGGGTATGGAGGTAGGGGTTCGAATCCCTCCTACGGTGTATGTATAATCGGGTGGGGAGTGGTGGGCGAGTGGTCAATTTTCGATATCATACCATCTTGAGGAATATAGTTCGATCCCAACCGCCCACAAATCCATCCCTCCCTTCTCCCCCATTTCCCCCTCTTCCCCCCTCCTCCCCATCTCCCCACCCGTCACCCCTCCCTCCACCTAACCTGTGACTTTCTGTATGTATCTGGGTTGGGTTGGGGGTTGGGGGGTGGGAGTTGGGGAGTAGGTTAGAGGTTAGGTTAGGGTTGGGTTGGGGTTGGGTAGGTTGGGGGTTGGGTGGGGTGTGAGATTTGGGTGAGGTTGGGTGAGGTTGGGTGAGGGTTGGGTTGGGTTTGGGTTGGGTTCAGCCGACAAGGTCCTTTCAAATGAGCCAACACTATATTAACCAATCCTCTCATAGTATTTCCCACCTGCCACCAACACACCTCGCTCCCCCTGCCACCTTTTACCTCCTTCCCCACACCTGCCTTGTGCCACATCCCACCGCTTTAGGTCAACAGGCCTCAGGAACCAATGCAATTGCAACCCCTGACCTTGACCTCCTTCTGACCACTTAACTCACCCCTGATCCTTGACCTCTTCCCCCAGACCCTTTTTCCCCCTCCCCTCATCTTAACCCACCCTCTGGGCGCTGACCTCGTGACCCCTGGCCTTAACCTCACCACTCTCCAGACCCTTGACCTCCCATGGCCTGACCTACCACCCCCCTGACCCTTGGCCTCCCCCGTGATGACCCTGACACACAACCCCCCTAAACCAGCCTACACCCTCCTGACCCGCCAGTGTCCCCCATTGACCCCTGACCTACCATTCCCCTGACCCTGACCTACCCACCCTCCTGACCTTAACCTACTCACCCCCTGACCAGTCACCTCCCCATGACCCTTGGCCTACCCACCCACTGACCTTGACCTACCCCTGACTCTTGACCTCTCATTGACCTTTGACCTCATTCCCTGACCTCCTCCCCTGATCATTGACCTCCCCTAACCTTGACCTATTCCCCTTGACCTTAACCTGCCCACTTCCCTGACCTCCCCAGACCCTGACCTAACTATGTCATCAGGTGCTGGAAGTGACACGAAGGTCATATATTTATAGCCACACGTATGTAAGGTTATGTGTGGTACTACTGTGGCTTCTGGAGCTGTCACCGGTCACCCTAGTTCACCTGTCTGTCTGTCTGTCTGTCTGTCTGTCTGCCTGTCTGTCTGTCTTACAAAGGTCAAGATGATTTGATCCCCGCTACCTGAAAGTTACCTCAGGTCACGGAAGGTCACGAGAGAAAAAAAAAAGAGAGGATGAGACATTGAGTGAGAGAGTGAGAAAATTAGTGAGTGTGAGAAAGTGAGAGAGGAAATGCCAGCAAAAGATCACATGACTCAGAAAACCTCACAAATTGCCTCCTCTCTCTCTATCTCTCCTCCCTCTTTTCCTCCAACCATCAATCCCTGTCCTCTCTCTTCATCCAATCTCCCTTCTCCTTCTCTACATCCCTCTCTCTTTTTCTCCCTCTTCCTCCCTTCATCTCCACTTCCCTCTCTCCCTCCCTCCTCCCCTCCCTCCCCTCCCTCCCCCCTCCGTCACACAGGTCGTCACAGAGGGCCTTAGCCGCGTATATGGATCCCTGGGTACACCTGCCTATTATTAATCCATTCCCTGCCAGGTACACATCACCGCCCACCACAACCCACCACGACTCACCCACCGCGATATACTATTCCCCGTCCACCATGACCCACCACCCACCGCGACCCACCACCCATCAGGATTCACCCACTGCCATGCACTCACTCCACTGCAACCCACCAACTTCCCACTGCGGCCCACCCCCCAAAACTAGACCCCACCACCCACCGGCTACAGTGACCAATCACCCACCTCCCTCACCACCCACCCCATACACTCTTGCCTTGACGGTCGCTGCTAAGTTATGTGTGTGTGTGTATGTGTGTGTGTTCAATTCCTCTTCTAAACGTCACTGAGTCTTGCCCGGGGAACCACTCAAGGTGTGGTCAGGCGCCTAACTTTACAGATGAGGAAATGAAGGCGATCGAGTACAGTGCCTTGTTGTAGGTGACTCAGCAGGCGTATGACGTCATTACTCAACAATTCTACTTCACGATGAGTAACTTTTGTAACCTAACCTCATCTCACCTCACCACACATAACCTTACCTCACCTGTCTCCTCAGGTCACACGGAGGTAGTCTCACACCTCGTCAACAAGTGCAACAGGAGTGTAGACCTGGACGCTCGTAATGCTCTGGGTTTCCTCCCTCATGAAGGCGGCGCTGCAGGGGAGGACCAAGATAGCGAAGATACTACTCTTTGCTGGTAAGGTACTGAGGAAGAGGGTCTCTCTCTCTCTCTCTCTCTCTCTCTCTCTCTCTCTCTCTCTCTCTCTCTACAAAAGCAATAATTGACCTGTCTCACGACCACCACTTGACCTCTCCCTCTCTCCATACAATAATGATAGATGACCTGAATCTCTCTCCCATCACCCCCTGACCTCTCTCTCTCTCTCTCTCCCTCCCTCCTACACACACAGGCGCCTCCCCCCACCTTCGAGACTTCGGGCGTGGGCTGTGTCAATGAGTAGGCTCTACACCGGTCGCCACGTCTCCAGGCGATCGAGAGCGTTCAGAAGTCATGCTCCAGCCACATCCGCGACAGGTGGACCAGTGACCCCGATCTCAAGTCTCACTCCACCAGTTCCATCAACACGCTGGGCCAAGGTGACAACAAGGAGTCCTGGATCAAACATAAGGTAGGTAATGATGGAGTGGTGGAGTGGTGGAGTGGTGGTGGAGTGGTGGAGTGGTGGAGGAGAAGTAGATGGTGATGTGGTGTGATGTGAATGAGGAGGATGAGGTGGTGGTGATGGTGGTGGTGGAGGAGAGGTGCAGTATTCAAGATAGAGAGAGAAATATTAAGGTCAAGCCAGGATTTGAAAACAGGGTGAGAGAGAGAGAGAGATAAAAGTGAAGAGTGACAAAGGGAATTAAAACGCGGAAGGAAGAAATAGCAAATAGTGAGACAAAGAGAGAGTTTACCTACATGACGATAGCAGTGAGGTACAATAGCTATCGTAGAATAAAAGAAATGGCCTCACTCACATGCATACTGTACAACACAATCCCTTGTATACATATGTTTGTTTTCAATTATACATATCTGGTATATATACATTCTCATTGTTTACATAATCAGGTATACATACATCTCTTATACATATTCTATACATACACATTGTCATTGTTTATATAATTGGGTTTATATATTGTATTTATACATATTGTTTATACATTTTGTTTACAGGGCCAAAATAAAGTTATCCTCCCATCTTGTAAACAAACTAAAAACTAAACCCCCTTTGTTTTTACAGATCAAGAAGGCGTTCCACAAGTCCGAATCCAAGAAAGAGTTTAGCGTGGTAACCAACTTGTCTACCATGGCTGTGTGCGCCACCTCCCCCCTCCTGCCCACGGCTGTCACCTCCGACCTCAAGCCTCATCAAGTGGTGGTTCCTCATGTTCAGGTGAGTTAGGGGGGTCGAGGTCTAGGTGAGGAAGGGGGTAGTCTAGGTGAGGCAGGGGGGGGTCGTCTAGGTGAGAAGGGGGGTAGTCTGGGTGAGGCAGGGGGTCGGTCTAGGTGAGGCAGGGAGGGTCGTCTAGGTGAGGAAGTGGTTAAGTCAAGCAGATAAGCGCAGGTGTACAAAATTACCCCGACACAAATTTTTAATCCAAGAAATAAGCTGTACGTCTTCTTTACACACACACAGGACTTACAAACATACATTTCCCCCTTTTAATGCTAGTTAATACATATGTAAGCACCAATTTGTGGTTTCTATTCAATTTTCACATCAATATAATTATCACATAAGTATATCAAAGTATATCTCCATTTCACGTTACTTAATTATACTCTTTTTATCAATAATTATTCGATTTGTATTATACTCTAGACCAAAGTTAACAGAAGTCATGGGAATTATAACGAAGATTCCCAATTTAACAGATTTAGAGCAGTTGGCCCTCCACTTACGAAAAATCATTCGTTCTTTGTAATAGCTAACATAAATTAAAATAATGATAACAGCACTACCACCAAAAGGAGTTGCTCGATTCCGTTTATTTTTATAGTTTTTCTGTACGATCATAAATCACCTATAGTGGGCAGGGCATGAAGGGTTAGGGAAATCGCGGGGTAAAACACGATGAAAAACTGATCATATGACACTAAAATGATGTCTCTACATGCTTTGTACGCGAAGAAATTAATTATTTACTGTAAATACTCATCCGAAAAGTCTGCCGAGTCACCACGTGTCGTCTGTTACAAACGACTCGCTTGGTCCCAGTGTACACCATGCCATTTTACAAAGTTGCTTTCATTAGTATCAGATATCAAAATAAGTACTTTCTTTTTAATATGGAGGGTCTGTTCCCCGGCTAGAGAGTTAGGTGAGGTTAGGTAACGGGTTGGTTTCTTTGGTTGGTTCGGTCAGGTTCTATTAGGTTCTTTGGATTGTTGTGACCTTTATATTATTATCAACCAAAGATCATGTATGGAAAAAATTATGAAATAGAACAACTTGTGGTGGTAGTGCTGTACTGAGGCATTACCCTTTCTTACTACGCTTAAAGAAAATTTCCTTATCGAGGTTTGAGCAACAAGTCGACCAAGACGAAGTAAACATGGATGATTCAGTTCAATATTTATGGTTATTTAAGCCAAATTTGATGATAAAGATAAATGATTTAGTAATTAGAATAATTTACCTTATTGTGATGGTCGTCAGGAGTGGAGATAACGTAGTAAAATAACCAGAAATCGATAATATCACAGATAATCACAAGAGCTACTAGACCACACAGTATTTTCACTCGGAATGCATTTCTTAACTAAACCTAAGATACCTCAAAAAAGTTGATATTATAACAATAAGAATGTTAAATACCCAATCATAATATTCTAAAATAAATAATTACTCCAGGATTTTTAATGGAATAAATATTTAGATAACCATTTAGTATTTTAATGATGTTGTTGACGTGTATTTCTGAACTTCATCAACTAAAGTGTTTAAGCTCGTATTCCAGGGAGCTACAAACACGATATAAAAAAAATAATACAGAAAATAGTTATTATTATTTGAATAGAATAAGTGTCGTTGTAAGTATAAAAGTTTATCGGTGCCATGTTAACAGTTATGTGATTGAAGTGTAATAGGCACGTAGTGTACAAACCTTGCACCACAACCAGGCAGCTAGCCAGTTTAGACTTTTCTTGAAAGAGAATTAATCATTATTGAGAAATATTATGGCTCTCGCAACGACACCATAGGAGTAAATAAGCTGCTAATACGTGTCTCTTATTGTACGTTTCTCTTTTTGAAAAACAAAAGTTTATACTGTATATCTAACTTAATATATCTTAGGCTATACGTAAACTTAATGGTGGAAATCTTCAATCTCTGGGCTAAACTAGATTTAGCAATGGCAAACAATGCAAATTTACCTCAGTTTTAACTGTAGTTTAACCCCACACACAGTTTTAACCCCCACACAGTTTAACCCCCACACAGTTTAACCCCCACACACAGTTTAACCCCCACACAGTTTTAACCCCCACACAGTTTAACCCCCCACACACGGTTTAACCCCCACACACAGTTTAACATCTTCACAGTTTAACCCCCACAGTTTTAACCCCCACACAGTTTAACCCCCACAGTTTAACCCCCACACACAGTTTTAACCCCCACACAGTTTTAACCCCACACACAGTTTAAACCCCACACAGTTTAACCCCCCACACAGTTTTAACCCCACACAGTTACACACAGTTTTAACCCCCCACACACAGTTTTAACACACACACACAGTTTAACCCCCCACACAGTTTTAACCCCACACAGTTTAACCCCACACACAGTTTTAACCCCACACAGTTTTAACCCCCACACAGTTTAACCCCCCACACACAGTTTTAACCCCACACACAGTTTAACACAGTTTAACCCCCACACAGTTTTAACCCCCACACAGTTTAACCCCCCACACAGTTTAACACACATTTTAACCCCCACAGTTTAACCCCCACACAGTTACACACAGTTTTAACCCCCACAGTTTAACACACACAGTTTTAACCCACACACAGTAACCCACCCACACACAGTTTAACCCAGTTTTAACCCCACACACAGTTTAACCCCCACACACAGTTTTAACCCCCACACACAGTTTAACCCCACACAGTTTAACCCCCACACAGTTTAACCCCCACAGTTTCACTTTTCCCCCCACCCCCCATTTACCACACAGTTTTAACCCCCACACAGTTTAACCCCCACACAGTTTAACCCCCACACACAGTTTTTTAACCCCCACACAGTTTAACCCCCACACACAGTTTTAACCCCACACACAGTTTTAACCCCCCACACAGTTTTAACCCCCACCACTTTAACCCACACCAGTTTTAACCCCCACAGTTTTAACCCCCAGTTAACCCCACACAGTTTTAACCCCACAGTTTAACCCCCACACACAGTTTTAACCCCACACAGTTTTAACCCCACCAGTTTTAACCCCACACACAGTTTTAACCCCCACACAGTTTAACCCCACACACAGTTTTAACCCCCACACACAGTTTTAACCCCACACAGTTTTAACCCCCACCGTTTAACACACAGTTTTAACCACACAGTTTTAACCCCACAGTTTAACCCCACACACAGTTTCCCCACACACAGTTTTAACCCCACACACAAAGCTAATCCCCACACAGTTTTAACCCCACACACAGTTTAACCCCACATAAGAACCCCACACAGTTTAAACCCCACACACAGTTTTAACCCCCACACAGTTTAACCCCCACACACAGTTTTAACCCCACCAGTTTTAACCCACACACAGTTTTAACCCCCACACAGTTTAAACCCCCCACAGTTTTAAACCCCACACAGTTTAACCCCCACACACAGTTTTAACCCCCACAAAACCCCACACACAGTTTTAACCCCACGTTTAACACACAGTTTTAACCCACTCTTTAATCCCACACACAGTTTTAACCCCACACAGTTTTAACCCCCCACACAGTTTTAAACCCCACAGTTTAACCCCACACACAGTTTTAACCCCCCAAAGTTTAACCCCACACACAGTTTTAACCCCACACAGTTTAATCCCCACACAGTTTAACCCCACCGTTTTAATCCCACACAGTTTAACCCCCACAGTTTTAACCCCCACACAGTTTTAACCCCACTCAGTTTTAATCCCACACAAGTTTAACCCCACGTTTTAACCCCACACAGTTTAACCCACACAGTTTAACCCACACAGTTTTAACCCCACTAGTTTTAACCCCCACACAGTTTTAACCCCCACAGTTTTAAACCCCACACAGTTTAACCCCACACACAGTTTCTTAACCCCCCACACAGTTTAACCCCACACAGTTAACCCCCACACACAGTTTTAACCCCCACACAGTTTTAAACCCCACACAGTTTAACCCCCACACAGTTTAAACCCCACACAGTTTAACCCCCACACATGTTTAACCCCCACAGTTTTACCCCCCGCAGTTTTAACCTTCCCCACCCACAGCTTTAACCCACACACAGTTTTAACCCCCACAAAGCTGTCCCCCCACAGTCTTAAAACTCACTCCTCTCTGTCTGTCCATAGATTACGGAGGTGAAAGTCCCAGATCACACGAGGATCCTGAAGACGCCCTCAGTCGCCTTCCGCCTCCTCCACCGCCTCCCATCCTGCCACCGGAAGAGGCCGCCTCCACCTCCTCTGCTTCCACTTCCTCAAAGTCTCCAAAGAAACAACCTGCAGGCAAGTCCTCCGCCTCCTCTGCGGGTTCACCTCCGTCGTCGCCCCCAGCGTCATCATCACCTCCTTCCTCAGCAGCGGCCACGTCGTCTTCTGCCTCCAAACCTTCCTCACCGCCATCGTCGCCTTCTCCCCACAGCAGCGGGAGCGACAGCGTGTACACCTCCTGCAGAAGGCGACAGGCTGGTGGAGACTCCAAGACCAACGGGGCGGCAAAGACGGTGGCATCGTCGAGTAAAGCATCTTCATCCAGCACCAAGAAGAGAAAGTAAACACTTGAGGCGGAGAGAGAAAGTGTTCAGCTCTCTCGTGTTTTCTAATAACAGGGAGAGAAAGGCGTCACGTGACTTACTGATTCCAAAGATGTTATGTGGATAGGGAGGTGAAACTGCTGAATGTGGCGCCCTACTGCTGAGTGTGGCGCCCTACTGCTGTGTGTGGCGCCCTACTGCTGTGTGGCGCCCTACTGCTGTGTGTGGCGCCCTACTGCTGTGTGGCGCCCTACTGTGCTGTGTGTGGCGCCCTACTGCTGAGTGTGGCGCCCTACTGCTGTGTGTGGCGCCCTACTGCTGAGTGTGGCGCCCTACTGCTGAGTGTGGCGCCCCTACTGCTGTGTGTGTGGCGCCCTACTGCTGTGTGTGTGGCGCCCATTGGCTGAGTGTGGCGCCCTACTGCTGAGTGTGGCGCCCACTGCTGTGTGTGGCGCCCTACTGCTGTGTGTGGCGCCTTACTGCTGTGTGTGGCGCCTACCGCTGTGTGGCGCCCTACTGCTGTGTGTGGCGCCCTACTGCTGTGGCGCCCTACTGTTGAGTGTGGCGCCTACTGCTGTGTGTGGCGCCCTACTGCTGTGTGTGGCGCCTTACTGCTGAGTGTGGCGCCCTACTGCGTGTGTGTGGCGCCCTACTGCGTGTGTGGCGCCTCTGCTGAGTGTGGCGCCCCACTGCTGTGTGGCGCCCCACTGCTGTGTGTGGCGCCCCACTGCTGTGTGTGGCGCCCCTACTGCTGTGTGTGGCGCCCTACTGCTGAGTGTGGCGCCCTACTGCTGTGTGGCGCCCCATGGTGTGTGGCGCCCTACTGCTGAGTGTGGCGCCCCACTGCTGAGTGTGCGCCCTACTGCTGTGTGTGGCGCCCTACTGCTGTGTGTGGCGCCCCTACTGCTGTGTGTGGCGCCCTACTGCTGTGTGTGGCGCCCTACTGCTGTGTGTGGCGCCTCATGTGCTGTGTGTGGCGCCCTACTGCTGTGTGTGGCGCCCTACTGCTGTGTGTGGCGCCCTACTGCTTGTGTGTGTGGCGCCCTTGCTGAGTGTGGCGCCTCACGCGGTGTGGCGCCTCTGCTGTGTGTGGCGCCCTACTGCTGTGTGTGTGGCCCCTACTGCTGTGTGTGGCGCCCTATCAGTGTGTGGCGCCCCACTGCTGTGTGTGGCGCCCTACCGCGCTGTGTGCCCTCGCTGTGTGGCGCCCTACTGCCGTGTGTGGCGCCCTACTGCTGGTGTGGCGCCCATCGTGTGTGGCGCCCTACTGCTGTGAGTGGCGCCCTCACTGCTGTGTGTGTGGCGCCCTATCTGGTGTGTGGCACCCTACTGCTGTGTGTGGCGCCCCATGCTGTGTGTGGCGCCCTACTGCTGAGTGTGGCGCCCTACTGCTGTGTGTGGCGCCCTACTGCTGAGTGTGGCGCCCTACTGCTGTGTGGCGCCCTACTGCTGTGTGTGGCGCCCGACTGCTGAGTGTGGCGCCCGACTGCTGGGTGTGGCGCCCCTACTGCTGTGTGTGGCGCCTACCCTGTGTGTGGCGCCCTACTGCTGTGTGGCGCCCTGCTGTGTGTGGCGCCCTACTGCTGAGTGTGGCGCCCTACGCTGTGTGTGGCGCCCCTACTGCTGTGTGTGGCGCCCTGCTGTGTGGCGCCCTGCTGAGTGTGGCGCCCTACCGCTGTGTGGCGCCCTGCTGCTGTGGCGCCCTACTGCTGTGTGTGGCGCCCTACTGCTGAGTGTGGCGCCCTACTGCTGTGTGGCCCACTGCTGTGGCGCCCTGCTGTGTGGCGCCCTGCTGTGTGTGCCCTACTGCTGTGTGCGCCTACTGCTGTGTGGCGCCCTACTGTGTGTGGCGCCCTACTGCTGTGTGTGGCGCCTACTGTGTGTGGCGCCCTACTGTGTGTGGCACCCCTACTGCTGTGTGTGGCGCCCCTGCTGTGTGTGGCGCCCTACTGCTGTGTGTGGCGCCCTGCTGTGTGTGGCCCTACTGCTGTGTGGCGCCCTACTGCTGTGTGTGCGCCCTACACTGTGTGTGCGCCCTACTGCTGTGTGTGGCGCCCTGCACCTGTGTGTGGCGTCCTACTGCTGTGTGTGGCGCCCTACTGCTGAGTGTGGCGCCCTGCACTTGTGTGGCGCCTACTGCTGAGTGTGGCGCCCTACTGCTGTGTGTGGCACCCCTACTGCTGTGTGTGGCGCCCTACTGCCTGTGTGGCGCCCTGCTGAGGTGGCGCCCGGCTGTGCCCTGCTGTGTGCTACTGCTGTGTGTGGCGCCCTACTGCTGTGTGTGGCACCCTACTGCTGTGTGGCGCCCACTGCTGTGTGTGGCGCCCTGCTGCTGTGTGGCGCCCTACTGCTGTGGTGTGGCGCCCTACTGCTGTGTGTGGCGCCCTACTGCTGTGTGTGGCGCCCTACTGCTGAGTGTGGCGCCCTACTGCTGAGTGTGGCGCCCTACTGCTGTGTGTGGCGCCCTACTGCTGTGTGTGGCGCCCTACTGCTGAGTGTGGCGCCCTACTGCTGTGTGGCGCCCTACTGCTGTGTCTGGCGCCCTACAGCTGTGTGTGGCGCCCTTCTGCTGAGTGTGGCGCCCTACTGCTGAGTGTGGCGCCCTACTGCTGAGTGTGGCGCCCTACTGCTGTGTCTGGCGCCCTACAGCTGTGTGTGGCGCCCTTCTGCTGAGTGTGGCGCCCTACTGCTGTGTGTGGCGCCCTACTGCTGAGTGTGGCGCCCTACTGCTGCTGCTGTGTGGCGCCCTACTGCTGAGTGTGGCGCCCTACTGCTGTGTGGCGCCCTACTGCTGTGTGTGGCGCCCTACTGCTGTGTGGCGCCCTACTGCTGTGTGTGGCGCCCTACTGCTGTGTGGCGCCCTACTGCTGTGTGGCGCCCTACTGCTGTGTGGCGCCCTACTGCTGTGTGTGGCGCCCTACTGCTGTGTGTGGCGCCCTACTGCTGAGTGTGGCGCCCTACTGCTGAGTGTGGCGCCCTACTGCTGTGTGGCGCCCTACTGCTGTGTGGCGCCCTACTGCTGTGTGTGGCGCCCTACTGCTGTGTGGCGCCCTACTGCTGTGTGTGGAGCGGCTCTTTGTGTTAAGGAATCGTTAATATCCCTTTAGTTAATATTTCAATCGCTCTGTTGTTCTCTTATTTAAGAGAGAAAACAATATTTAATTCACGAAACATGAAAACCGTTTATTAGGAATTAAGGAAATAATATATATATGCGTTTAACTTTCTCATCTTTCTACTGTGCCATTGTCATAAAATGTTTATACCCTTTATCTTGTACATAATTATGAACTAACAAATAGTCAAGTTATTAGATAACAGTTGCCAGTTTGTTGTCCCGGAACACTGAGTTATGGCAAGTTACCCTTAAGACAACCGTGTTTATACCCTACTATACTGGGTGTTATACTGACCACTGAGGCTGTAATGAAATGTTGTGCCTAAGGTGTGCCCGGGGAGGGGAAGGGATAATGTGCTATAATACTTTTTGTGTTTTTTCATACCGACAACTCATTACCCAATCAGGGACAAGTCACAACTCAGACGAAGGCTGATTGACCAGCTGTTTCAATGCGTCAACCAATGGCGTCATCACTAGCTGACCAATCAGCATTCAAGACGTCACTAATGAATAGCATAAGTAGTTCTGATGTCATTGTGTTTTCGTTTTGGTTTATGCCAAAGTTGATGGTGACCAATCGGTGTACATCCCTGTCACGAGTGTAGGTGTTTATTAAGCGTGTAGACCAATCAGTGTGTACATAGGACATAAGTGTGCGTTATTAAGCCTGCTGAACAATGATCGCACAACATTGATATTAATTAAGGTGCCAAGAAGCGCCCGGGGAACACATCTTGTTACCTTGTACTATTTATTTAAGCGTTCACGGTAAGGTAACTCCTCAGCACTCTCCCCTGATCTCAATATATGTGTTATCTCAGCATGCCGACCAGCCAGTTTTGATGTAATAGGTGTTGACAACCCCCCGCGTCGACCTATAAATGTGTAGTTTCTAACGTCATTATAATTATACATATATATCATACAGCATGTTGGCCAATCACCATACACCTCTGACGTCGTAACCTTACGTCATGAAAGTTGTTACCAATCAGCATGCACTTTTGACGTCACTATGTCCTTCACCTCGTTGACCAATCAGCGTACACATCTGACGTCATTCTTTTGTTTTGTTTTCGAGCTCGTTAGCCAATCAGCCTTGACTTTTGACCTTCACTAGGGAATGAGCTGTCTGTGTATGTGTTTTAGAGCGTTATTTCAGGGGTCAAGTTGGCACGATACTATTTTTGGAACCTTTATATGTAGAGAAGATGAATAATGAAGGTCTCCCGTACACACACACACACACATACACGATTAACATCTCCTGTACACACTAGGACCCAGTTGCTATCAATCCCAACTGAACACCTGAAACGACACTAAATCACGACACTAAATCACGACACTAAATCACCTTCCTCGACTTCTGAAACCATACAGTATGTTTCTTTTATCCTCGTGTCTACTCCCTTGATTGTCTGGGCTGTTTACTCATTTCAAACTCTGACACTCTACTGTAGTTATGATATAATTTGTGGATTTATAACGATAATTTGTGGAGTCATAACGATAATTTGTGTAGTTATGACGAAAATTTGTGGACTTATAACTATAATTTGTATAGTAATAACGATATAATTAGTGTTATGCTGACATATTACGTAAACAAACCAAACAAAATTAGTATCAATAGTTACGTGTATTAGAATATGAGAAAAATCAATTAACAAATTACAATATTGCTGTGTAGAGGGGGTTATTAAAACAAGCCATCTTAAACGATAGAGTAAGTTTTCAAAATATTCAAGAGTGCATTTATCTGAAACGAATTATAATTATTATTTTTGTATTCATATTTTCTATTGAAAGTCGTTAGTAGAATATAGTGTTCAACTGTTTTTTCTTTATTTTTTTATAAAGACTTAGAAATATAGATCACCAATAAACGTCGAGATTTCGCTATTTAGTAATTTTATTTTAACGATGGAAATAAGCAAGTCCGTCTTTAGTATTGTCTAATTTTATGTGGATTATTTTTTTTAAGCTGCTAAGTATTTTTATCATATATGTATTTCCGTTCATGGTGATAACTTAAAGATAACGGAATTTTAGGCATATTTTCTTCCTATATTCTGGATGTATAAAGAAATTTGATAATAAATGCTATGATATATATCCTCAACAGCTCAAAGGAATACCACGGTGTTTTCAGTGCTTTGCTATGTTTGTTTATGATCGGTTACTCTCAAATTCTTTATAACCATTTTCTATGACGTGTGACGCACTAGGCTCGCAAAGTTTGGTTCCACAGGATTTTAAAGGGTTCAGTGTTGATGCATTTCTCTTTTGGGAAGCTGTGTGTGTACGTGTGTAAGATTTTTATAGTGTGTCTATTGGCCTAAAAATCAATGACATGACATAATTTGATCCCTTGAATCTAAACGTGTACAAAAAGAATTCTCAAACATATCCGAATTATCTTATATGTTTAAGGGTTAGTTTGGCGGTTCAAAATTGGCATGGTGCTGTTTTGTATGCCCTATAGATATATTACAAACGTTTCTTTTACACAAATACACTCAAAAACTCCCAAAGACAAGATTTTATCAACTGTTTACCCCTGATACAACCTATTTAACATTGTCAGTATATATTTACATTATATACTCTGCAACTGTTGGCAGGTTCAGCGTCTGTCATATAGTAAGTTATATGAAAACGATCAAGCATTTCCTTAGAGTTTTTGGTAATGATGAACTAATATGGTATATGATATACGTAGTTTGAATATATACTGGCATATTGTTAAAACATTATGAGGCCGTATATTTTTTTATTTATCATTTCACACGATGTATACTGTATTTTTAAAACCCTTACCGTGTCTTCAAGTGTATCTTCCTCTCTTTAAAGGCATATCAGTAGAACTTATATAGACTTAGGATACAGTAGTCTATTAGGAACTAGAAACAGGAAATAGGTCGTGGGAAGTGTAAATAAACCACAGAAAATGAGACCAGTAAGGGGTGACTCCACTAAATATTTCACTTCACTTTCCTTCCGTACACACAGTGAATATAGATTCTTAATTATTCATTGCGTGTTTAAAAATCCTGGAATATATTAAGTAAGTCAACCAATATATTATTTTTTCGACGAACTCTCACCAACATACTCAAACTAACTCGTTTCTACTCAATACACTGTAATTTTCATCTTTTCATTTATATATTTGTCTATGCTGTACATTATTCATATTTCAAAATTCATAATAATAATATTCCTTTTAGTTAATAAATATGGTTGTTTACATATGGATAAATTGTTTCTTCGTCATTCTAATTTATTTTGTTTATCTCTGTTGTACCTTTTAGAATTCTTTGTACTTCGCAGTCAAATTAGTGTCACTCTGAGAAAAATATCATAAGTCCACTTTCTATTTCACACTCACTACCTATGTCTTCCTCCTTGTCTATCTACCTATCTTTGCCAGACTGTCTTTCCTATTTTGCCTGTCTAGTTATCTATCTATCTGTCCGTCTGTCTGTCTCAAGTCATCTCCATCACTGACCCACCACCACCATCTCCATCCTCTTCCTCCACCACCACTACCACCATCAACAAATTCCTGGGTGCATAATTATAGTGTATCAACAAGCTCCTTCGATAACATCTCCTCAAACCATTAATCTGAGAACGACTCTAACTGGCCTTTGGGACCGGAATATCACATCTTGGAGACCTTTGGGCTGATGTGTAAACAGTACGAAATAGTTTAGGACTTTTAGATCATCCTTGAACTTTATAGACGATCCTCTCAAGGGAGTGTACAGCATATTTAAAGCCTTGTTGTTGATAATTTGTACGTAGGTAGTGTGAAATATCTCAAGGGCAGATGTTTGAGTTACCCCTGATAGAAAAACTTTATCAGTACTCTGTGAACCTCTTGATGAATGGGTATGTACTCAGCACCTCCATCATCACCCTCCACCATTACCATCACCATCACTACCTTCTCTTACACTATCACCACCCTCCACCTACGCCACCATCACACCACCACCGCCCTCGCACCATCACTCTGAAGGTATTTTTCAAGTGAGTGTGAGAGTCGAGGAATTTAGTTAGGCTCTGTAATTAAAGCGAAGTTGGGTGTATTTGTAATCTTCATGGCTTTGGGGATAATCTTTCTTGCCGTGTGGGAGAAATCCTTACATTAACAATAGCGTGTTATATGATGGACTTTGGGATATCTCATTAAAATGTAGTTTATAATTTGAAAGGTTCTATAGTTATACTTACAAGGATACGACACGTAATCTTGTAGGCTCTGTAGATTACCTTGCAATCACACGTAATCTTGCAGCTCCTTGAGATACCCTTGCAACGACACATAATCTTGTATTCCTTTAAGATAACCTTGCAACATACTCGTATAAAAGTAACCTTGTAGCCGTAGGCCTCGATATTGTATTCTGATAAATGAGGTGAAGAGAATCAAGACCCCAAGACGAGAGGTCAGTACCACCATTACACTGAGACACAAGTGAGCGCTTCCAAGACGTCAAGAAAGGAGTGTCTGACGCCGCGTTTTTGTAATTCACCTTTTTTGAGGGGGTTGGGAGGGATAACTTTCGAAACTTCTTGATTTTTTGCGTCTCGGGTAGTTTTTCAATAACATTTTAGAAGATTTTTGTTTATAGTAAACGTATAGAATGTTTGAGTCGTTTATTTTATATTTTCGCAATACAGATTGACGGAAAATTTAAGAAGATTCATCACGGGTGAAAAACTAAATATATACGTGTGGATTTTTGTCCGTTTTCTTAACTTTAGCGGATTAGCCCGGATTATCGTGTCTTCATCACCCGTTTTTCTTCATACTTTGAATTCATCTTTTTTACACGCCTGCTGCTGTATATCTCAACAACGCGCCAGTTCATGTAAATATGTAAACAAACGCTTATAATATCTGTTTTACAGAGTTTTGTGTTTATTTATTTGTCAGTGTTAGATCATTTTTATGTAAATGCGTAAAGGTGTTTTTTTAAGACTCACTCCATCGCTTCTTAAATAATTTTTCATGTTGTTATGAAGGTTTTAGACACGTTATCCCTTTACTTTGATGTCAACAATATATTGCGATTCAATATATCAAATATATAAAGATCGCCTTTGTGTATAGATCATTCATAGCAAGAGAATGAGTCTTGCATATTTTACTTTCGTGTTACTGATAAATATAAAATAATTACTCCTAGATTCCTATATTTCAATGCATATGATGCAGTTGCGATTCATGTAATGAAACAAATATCGCCTGTATGTATAGCTCACCGTGGAGAAAGATAACTAAGAAAATAACAACAAAAGAAGATAACAAGATAACAAATACTTTAAATATTCGTGTTTTTATTTTAATAATTACAATAATCTTTACACGTTGATGTCAATTTATTGCGTCAAAAAACATATCTCCTTTGTGTATAGTTCATCCCCTTTCAAACAAGATAACAAGAATATATAAATACAATAACAAGATAACAAATTCCCCTTTATACATATACATAATCTAGTGTTTTTTAAAGAGTTAGTTAAATAATTATATATATACAGTCTACCTTTGATGTTAATTACCCCATTGCGATATAATAAGAAAAATATCGAACCCCGTATTATAGTTCACCCCACGATACAGATACTCAGCACCCCCTCCCCCTCCCCATCCTTCCCTCCTCTCTTTACGTGACTAGAGGTGACGGTTATAGCCTCTCTATCCCCTGTTGAGCTGGTGAGGATCTTGTTACTGTAGAAGAGGAAGTCAAACTTAAATATAATATATATCTTGGCCCCCGTAGCCCTCACCTGATGACAAGAAGGGCCTTTGAGCCAGCTGTTGCCTGGAGGTCATTGTCTTTCTCTCATCCGAAAAAAAATAATAATATTATATCATTCTATATGTTTTGGTTTATTAATTAATGGAGTGCAAGAATAATAATGATAATATTAATATTAATAAAATATTTAATAAATTGTTTATTCGTGTTTCTTAACCTTTTTTTCTTTTTACGTCAACAACTTTGGTGTTGTATTTTAACTGTGATAGTATTCTTAACTTGTCGTAGGCATTGTTGAGAGGTTCGAGTGTACCGTAAGGCTAACTGGTCGCCTGTATAACACTCGTTCATTCAGTTTACATTTCTGTTTAATCTTTACTAATATGCAGCTTTTTTCATCATTCACTGGAAGCTATTCAGTCATATTTATTATAAGGTATGTGGGTTAACCTGAAGAATAGACACCCCCCAACATATCCACCATCTCCCTCACACCCTTACCTATCCACTATCTCCCTTACCTATCCACCATCTCCCTCACTCCCACCTATCTATCCCTTACCTATCCACCATCTCCCTCATTCCCCCACTATCTCCCTCACTCCCCCACATTCACTATATAAACCCTCATCATACATAAACACTATCAACTTACAAAAACGTTATTCACTTGTTTTTATCATTTCATAATAAAGGAAAAAATGACACAAGAGACGCAATTGTAATCTTTTTATATCCTGCTAATTAATTAAACATTGTGATAATATTTTCCCAAACATACCAGAACGAATTTTTTGTACACATGCAGTAAAGAATGAGTACCTTACCTTACCTTATCTCACCTTACCTCTTATCTTTCCCTTATCCTTTCTTCACTCAATTAATCTATATTTCATTAACTAATAACATCGGTAAGTAATTATATATATATAGAACTATTGATACTGGAATATTGTTAATAAAAAAAAATTTGGAAGACATTTTGTTCAGTGTCGAAATGATTGAAATAAAAGAATGTAAACACGTTAATTATTTAGATCATTTGTTCTTGTTTTTAGTTACGGTCAGCAGCTTTAAATGGAAGACTGATGAACAACCCTGAGACAACACTACACGAACGTTTATCCGCATTCTGCCCGCACTGGCGATCGATCTATGTCATGGACGTCAGAATTAAGTACTGAAGAAGAAGCTATCGAAGATCTCAAAGGCTAGAAGCTCCAACAGGACTTAAAAATGAGCTCTGGAAGGACCTCAAGCCAAAGTTCTCCTGTCTTCTGCCTGCACTGGCGTTGATCGTTTATAAGATGGGCATTAGATTTTTTTTATATTGAAGATGACGTTAAAGTGTAAACAAATAACAAAAAAATAACATAACTAAAAAATAACCACTAGAAGAATCACAAGCGAACGTTCTTCCTCCTTATTGACCACACTGACTACGATCGTTTATACCCTGGACGCCATAAACCACCACCACCACCAAGAAGGGCATAAGTACCTAACTCTAGGACCAGAACGAGGGCGCCAGCGAGGAACCCCAACAGGAGAACGTAAAAAGGTCCCTGGAAGTGTTCGAGGGAGAGTATCACCTGACCTCCTCCCTCAGTACTGCCTCCTCCAACACTATCTCCAACACCGCTAGTCTCCATCCTCTCCTTCCTCAACAGACTCTGCTCCTGGAAGATGATCTCCTGTGGGCGGAGAGAAGAGTTGTTGATTTATTTCTGTCTGTCTGTCTACTTTTTATCTTTCTATCTATCTATCTATCTATCCATCCCACCTATCCACACATCCACAGAAGATGAATGAGTACCTATCTATCCACGTTTCCAACCACCCATCCACTCAACCACCCACCTATCCACACAGACACAAGGGATAGAGTAGTACCCACCTGTACCCACTTCTCCACCCACCCATCCACTCACCCACCTATCCACCTATCCACACAGACATAAGGGATAGAGTAGTACCCACCTGTAACCACTCCTCCACTATGCCGGCCTGAACCACCCTGTTGATGTACTTGTCGAAGCTGTGAGGAGAAATAATGAAGTTACTGTGTGTAGTTAAGCTGTATAGTTAAGCTGTAGTTAAGATCCAAAGTTAAGCTGTATAGTTAAGCTGTATAATTAAGCTGTAGTTAAGATCCAAAGTTAAGCTGTAGTTAAGCTGTAAAATTAAAATGTAAAGTTAAGTTGCAAAGTTAAGATGTAAAGTTATATTGTGAAGAAAAAAATATTATACACTACTACTACTACTACTACTACTACTACTACTACTACTACTACTACTACTACTACTACTACTACTACTACTACTCTGCTGTCACTCGGAATCTAGTATGACGATCATCCAGCTATGATACAATGATATGAGTTATTAAGGATATCACCTTGGTTAGTGAGCTCTGAGGTGACTAGAGAGGCCGATACGGGACCAGCAGGGTCGGTCACAGACAACATATCACTACATACACACACACACACACACACACACACACACACACACACACACACACACACACACGTTAAAGTAAACTATCACCAACCTCCTCTTGTATGGCGCGTACTGCTGCATGGGCCAAGCGATCCTCTCCTGCAGAAGTTCGAACCCCGGCAGGTGAACGAGAGGCTGGCCATTTCTATCCGTGTATTTAACAGCCACCAGGAGCCTCGTCGTGATGCTGTTGTCCCAGGTGGCTAGTGTCCCCTTCACCACGTCCTTCAGTATACCCTCAAGGGAGTCCCGCCACTGGACTCCTTCCCTCAGCGCGATTAACACTGGATCCTGTGCTTGTTCTAGGAGGGCGCTTTGTACCCCGCCGAAGTATACCTGTGGGGGGAGGTGGGTGGTGAGATGTGGGGGAGGAGGTGTGTGTGGGGGGGTGAGGGAAGGAAGGAGAGGACGACGTGGTAAGGTAGAATAGACAGACAGACAGACAGAAAAAAGCAAAGATATTAACCCAACCTTAACCAAACCTTAACCCAACCTTAACCCAACCTCAACCCAATCTCAGCCCAACCTCAACCCAACCTCAGCCCGACTTTAACCCGACCTTAACCCGACCTCACCTTAGCCCAGCCAATGTCGGAGGTGACCAGTTGGCGGAGATCCTGAATAGGACTCTGGAGGCCTGGCATGATAAGGAAGGAGGTGAGGGAGGAGGAGTAGGAGATCCCCACGATCATAGTGAACACCAGCCAACACCCGACAAACACTCGTCCTGGCGTCTCCCTGATGTCATACTTGGTGCCGCGCTGTGAGGGAGAGAGGGAGGTAAGGTGAGAGAGAGAGGTGAGGTGAGAGGGAGAGGTGAGGTGAGGGGGTGAGGGAGGAGGAGGTGAAGTGAGTGGGGGTGAAGTGTAGGTGAGAGGGAGAGGTGAGGGTGGAGAGGGGGGTGGAGGAGAGAGAGAGGGAGGTAAGAGGGGGAGGGGGAGAGGGGGTGAGGTGAGAGGGGGGGTGAAGGAGAGGAGGTAAGGTGAGAGGGAGAGGTGAGGTAAGAGGGGTGAGGTGAGAGGGGGGTGAAGTGGGAGAGGGAGGTAAGGTGAGGAGGGAGAGGTGAGGTGGGAGGGGGGGGTGATGGGTGAGGGGGATGAGGTGAGAGGGGAGGGGCAGAGGTGAGAGGGAGAGGTGAAGGAGAGGGGGTGAGGTGGGATGCAGAGGGGGTGGGAGGTGGAGAAGAGGGGTGAAGTGGAGAGGGGTGAGGGTGGGAGAGGGGAGGTGAAGGAGAGGGGGGTGAGGTGAGAGGGAGAGGTGAAGGAGAGGGGGTGAAGTGAGCATGAGCAGAGAGAGAGGGAGGGATGGAGGTGAGAGGGGGGGGGTAAGGAGAGATGAGGAAGGAGAGGGAGAGAGAGAGAGGGAGGTGGGGAGGGAGAGATAAATGGATAGCTAGATAGGTCGACAACAGGTAATAACACGTACACAAACTCTAATTCGTATACACAAACTTACATGTACACCAACTACCCATGTGCGCTAATATTCAATGTACACCAACAGTACATGTACACCAACTATCCTCTCTCTATCTTTCTTTATCTATCTATCTCATTTTTCTCTCTCTTTCTCTCTACCTTAGTTTACCCTTCACCTTTAAACTCTCTCTCTCACCTGGAACAATGGCTCAAGTATAAACAGAAGAGCATTATCAAACTGCAGGAACCAGGCGACGTGAGGACGGTGGGCCCCGTGACAGTACTTGGCCAGACCCCACAGGAAGGGCCCAGCCAGCACCATGGACGCTACCACTGCCAGCCACACCTCCCACGTGAAGGGCCTGGGGATTATAGAGGGGGATTATAGGTGTGGGTGATTACTTAAGGGTATAATTTGGGGTAATGGATTACTTAATGGAATTAGATGAGGGATTATAGTTCTGGTGGATTACTGAGATTATAGTTGTGGTGGATTATTGGGAGGGATTATAGAATGGGTTTATGGGTGCGGTGGATTAATGACGTGGATTACTTTGGGATTATAGAGAGCTTGTAGGTATAATGACTTACTTAAGGAGATTATTGAGATTCCAGGGTGGGATTATAGGTCTAGTGGATTACTGAAGGGGATTATTAGGATTGTAAGTGTAGAGGATTACTGAAGAGATTATAGAAAGTGATTATAAGTCTAGTGGGATACTAAGATTATATGGAGGGATTATAGCTGTAATGATTGACTTAAAAACTCTCCTCACCTGACGGGACTGAGCCATCTAGGTAGGGGCTGAGCCTTAGGAGTGACCAGTTCAGAAGCGTCGTAAATAAAAGTCTGGCAGAAGTCGACGTTAGCTTCCCGCTGTGGACTAAAGGTAATGTCACTCACCGCCCAGTCAGCCTCTTCGTACACAACCATACCTGGGGACAAGATAGTGCTATAATACACACCTGTTACGGCTCATTTTCGTGTTTATAGATCCATCACAGTTGTCGTCTTTAGTTGATTATTATTGATGTGGTTTATAAAGAAATATAAGGTTATAATTTTGGGTAGAGTATAATTTTATTTGAGTCTAGTACACCTGTGTGGGTTAATTAAGGACAGGTAAACTTTAATTGGTATATAAGTCACCCCATATAAGTTATTCCCCAGGTCCCTACCCTAAACAAGTCCCTCTCCCCATACAGGTCCCTCCCCCACACAGGTCCCTCTTCCACACAGGTCCCTCTCCCCCACACAGGTCCCTCTCCTCCAGCCACAGTCCCCCACACAGGCCCCTCCCCACACAGGTCCCTGCCCCCACACAGGTCCCCTCCCCACACAGGTCCCCCACACAGGTCCCCCACACAGGTCACTCACCTATCATACCTGTCCAAGTACCGTTCTTCGTCAGCCTCCCCCACTGATTGTCTTTAGGGGCCACGTAATGGTAGGTAAAGTTGATCGCCTCAGCCAGAGTGTCTAGCAGGAACACCTCCAGGCCCCGGTACCTGTGTGTGTGTGTGTGTGTGTTGTGTTGTGTTGTGTTGTGTTGTGTGTGTGTATATTGCGTTGTGTGTGTATGTGTGTTGTGTCATGGCAGGTGAAGTAAGGTCAAATTACTTCCTCTTGAGTATACATTGGGGTCAATGGGGTCAAAAAGGTCATCTGGCGACATTGTAAAGCAACATGAACATAGTTATTCGAAACAGAAAACGTGGATTTGTTTAAGGTGTAGAAGCTGTCGCCAACACAACAACCACACCCTAAGTTAACGAGTTGCATGACCCAGTGTCAAGGAATAGTCCGAGAAGACCGGCAACTCGCCAACTGCACTGGCTAACCATTACCCCGGAACATGATCCAGAAATCGATTAACATCCAGGTCCCAATTACTGCTGGATAGACAGAGGCGAATGGCGTAAAGAAACTTGCCCATAGTTTCACCCTGCCCGGGGATCGAACCCGGGTCCACTCGCTCGCTGACATACGTACATAAAACCTAACACACGCACACACACACACACACACACACACACACACACACACACACACACACACACGTGCCGGGTCCTGGTAAGGAAGGGTCGTTGGTCATGATGAAGGGGGAGTAAGGAAGAGCCGCCACAGCGAAGTCGTACCCCTGCAGGTCGTTCATGTCCTGACGGAAGAGTGTTACCTCCTGCCTGTAGTAGCATCAGCACCGTGTCAGCAGGAGCATTATCGCCGTCATTAGTAGGAACACCACCATCATCGTCAGCAGAGACACCACCATCATCGTCGTCAGGAGAAGCAACACCATCATCGTCAGAAGCAAGAAAAAATAAAAAACCCTTAATTTACTACAATGGTCCAAAAATCCGCGAACTATAACATTATAAAATAGTGACCCCCCCTCTCTCTCTCACCTGAAGCCAGAAGAATAGTGCCAGGTGTCCAGGTATATGACAGAGTGCCTAGACGACCCAGAGCATAATTTAGTGCCATATAAGGACCAGTTCCTCTCACCGTCTCTCTCGGCACCCACCACATGTACGCCAAACCTGAAGTACAGAAGACAAACAGGTGTGTAGGTGGGTTTGTTTCAGGTGTGGGTACAGATATAATAAAGGTGGATTTGTGATCATGTATGCAGGTTTGGAAGAGTTGTTTAGTTAGGGTTAGGTTAGGTTAAGTTAGGTCACCTGAAATCTGGGTGGAGAAGGATGGAGGTGATTCCTGGACTATCCACTCCGTCGTAGCCTTCGTCAGACATAAGCAGGATGAAGGTGTTAGCGTAGCCTGCCCACGCCGCTGCCCTTCCTGCTACCCTGTCCTGCAACCTACGCCACGTCCTGCCCCGCGCCACCACCACCACGCCACGGCACACCCTCGTATCGTTGACCTGCACGTTACTCTGTCCAGGCGAGGTCAGATAGGGTCATGGTAGGTCATGGTAGGTTACACTGGGTTTTGGTAGATCGTGGTAGGTCAGATGGGGTTATGATAGGTCATGGTAGGTCACACAGGGTTATGGTAGGTCATGGTAGATCACACTGGTTTATGGTAGGTCATGGTAGGTCACACTGGGTTATGGTAGGCCACACTGGACTATGGTAAGTCATGGTAGGTCACACTGGTTTATGGTAGGTCATGGTAGGTCACACCGGGTTATGGTAGGTCACACTGGGCTATGGTAAGTCATGGTAGGTCACACTGGTTTATGGTAGGTCATGGTAGGTCACACTGGGTTATGGTAGGTCACACTGGGCTATGGTAAGTCATGGTGTAATGACCAAAGTCGTTCACGTCAGTTAACGTAATATCAGACGATTCATATTACGCTCAATAGCCCACAAAACATGTAGCTATGCTTTCTTTATTTAAGTCCCCGTCTGAGGCATCCGTTTTCTCATCACTTCAGGATGTCTGAGTCCTCCGTTTTCTCTCAAGATTAGAATACACCCGAGACTTCGTTATTCCTTGGTATAACGAGACAGAATTTGAAATTGCAGCTGTGGTGGTATATGTTGAGGCAACTTAGATATGTCTGATTACAGTTGGAACATTCAAGATCCATTGTGAGTGATGTTGAAAGCTTAAACTGTCTTTATTGTTGGTAAAACTTGTCAGGTAAGTGAGTGTCAAGTCTGTCAGTACGAGTGGCATATCCTTATATCGTCCTCATGAGTTTCCAGGTGCTACTGAAGTTAGATTATTTTTATGCCCAAACATCAGAGAATCTGATGTATGTAGTTTAGTTAGTGTCAGTTGTCTATTTAAGAAAGTCATTAATCTCTTGAAAAGATTCTGTCAAACTCAAAATCTCCAAGACCTAACGGCTCTCCCCAGGAAGAATTCCTTGTCCATGGTTTGTAGTTTTCCGGTAAGTAGAGTTGTTAGTGCGTGTTTAACGTCCATTTCAGTTTTTCCTGACAAACTCAATCTCTGATTATATTATAAAAATAGACATAGGAAATTCACCTGTCCCGTGACACTGATATTCATAGTTGAGTGTACAGCGACCGAGTTGAAGAGAATTTCTGTTGGAGCCTTTCTGGTATGTATGCGTAGGCCGGAACTGCCCCAGGCTCACATATATACGAATGCACAAGGAAGACTCACACACTCGTGACTCTTCCTCAACGCATCTCCAGGTATGTGAACGATTGTTTCCCGCCGCCATGTTAAGTCAGTTTCACTTACTCGATTTTGTGAATATCAGTGTTCATGTTTTAACATAGTGAAATAATCATGTGCCAAGTAATTCGAGTAAAGTAAGTGTCGTCTGTATTGCTGCCAGACGTATAGTTATGAGTGTTTGAGCTAGACATTTACACGCTCTTCCTCAACGCATCTCCGGGCACTGTCTGTGTTGGCACCACTACCGAGGTGCGGTAGCTGCCTATGGGCAAGATGGTCCTTGAAGGATGTCTTTAATATGACGAGATTAGAATCCGAGGACAGGACTACCCAGGGAATGCCATGCGAAGACAGTGCACCCTACCCCGAGCGAGCTTCGGCTGTCTGTGTAGTAAACAACCAGTGGATTCATTCTTGTCCGGTCCATTGATCTTGGTTATATGTATTGAGCAGTATTGGTATCTATGATTGGGGATAATTAGCAGAAATAGAGTTATCCCAGGTTGAGTATATTGAACCCATGAATGTTGGTGTTACCCGTGGTACCGTTGGTATAGGGGTTGAGGCCACCAACCAGGTGTACTACCACTGAGTCTAGTTAAAGTGCCATGTTGTTCATTCCGAACTAACATGATGTGTTTAATAATATCTTAATTTTGGATCTTGTCGAGTGTGTTATATATTCATCTGTATTGACAATGAAAAAATATAACAGTTGTTCACTGATGTAATAAGTAATGAAGATCTATTTTGCTATTTGTAAAGTAAAACCTAAGTGGTCCAGCCTTGCCTGAGTGTACTTAATTAACATCTTGCTCACTCCTTATGTTAATAAATATTGAATTAGTAAGCTACAAGTATCACAGCTCTATTTCTTCTACCCATTGGTTCTCAGAAAATAACTTTGTAACTCACGTGCCTAGAAACTCGCTAGCACGCTACCTAACAGTTCAATGAGATATGTTATATTCTCATAAAAAGTCTGTGTGGTGGCAGGCTACCGTCGTAAGTATACTAAGTGTTATAATAAGAATGACATGGTTTCCCAGACTAATCCTTGGTTTAGAATATAACTAAAACAGGATATAATTGAGAGAAAGTAAGGACATGAAATTCAGAAAAATACAATAATATATTTGAAAGAAGAAATGAAGTAAAGAAAAGAATATTGACTTAGAAAATATAAACAAAAGAAATATAAGATATAGACTTATAAAGAGAAAGATATAGAATATGAAATTATCAATATATACACAAGAAGCAAGTATATAAGTATAGAAAAGAAGAATAAATAGAATAATTTGAAGTAAGGAAACAGGACCCTTACAATGGTAGGTCACACTGGGCTATGATAAAGTATGGTAGGTCATCTGTAGGCCATGGCAGGTCCCTATATCCAGCTTATGACACTGACAGCCATTCTTGTTACATTACTGTGTAAAGAATTCAACAGATAAAAAGTTACGAGGGTGTTTTAATATTAACTCTCTCTCTCTCTCTCTCTCACCTTACCTTGAGTTCAAACACAGTTGGAGGGTCGAGGGTGAGGAGGTGAACGAGTGAGAGGCCCAGAGAGTGGTGGCGGAGGGGCGGTGGTAAGGGAGTGAGCACAGGGTGTGAATCATGTAATACGACTAAGGAACACCTGCCTAGCTCCCTCTCTACCACCTCCCCGACCAGATGCCTCGCCTCCTCCTCCTCGTCTGGTCGCTGCCACACTCGACCAGACTGTGAGGAAAAACAGAAAAAAAAAGGAGAATACGATTGGAAGGATTGGATTTTTTTAAGAGAGAGATTAGACTGTATTACGGTGTGAATCGGTATGGTGGTTATGATTGGGCTTGTCTCTTCCTACTCCCTCGAGAGACGTAGAGTGAGGGGAGATATGATCGAGGTGTATAAATGGAAGTCAGGGCTAAGCAAAGGTGATATAACAAAGGTACTCAAACTATCCAACCAGGAGCGAACTCATAGCAATGGTTTTAAATTAAGACAAATTTAGATTTAGGCGCGAGATAGGTAAACATTGGTTTGGAAATAGAGTAGTGGATGAGTGGAACAAGTTACCAAACATCATCATTAACTGGAACACGCTGGATAACTTCAAACACAGGTTGATGGATATATGAGTGATAGGGGTTGGGTGTAAATGGGACTGCCCAGTATGGACCAATAGGCCCGCTGCAGTTTCCTCCATTCTTATGTTCTCTTCCTCTTTCTTCTCCTACTCTTCCTCTTCCTTCTTCCTCTTCCTTAACCTCTTCCTTAGCCTTCACTGCAGAATGGTTTGTGAAGTCATTTTAGGGCAGGAGTTGATAAGTATCACGTAATAAAATGACGAATAAATAAAGGTTGATAATCATGGTTTTCTGGAACGGGAAATGACCTTTGTGTGTTGTGAGTTTTGTCTCTCAGAATACTAACACACACACACACCAGAAAATAGTCACGCAAGCTATTACATCTATTATCATCCAATACACACGTAACACTCACTACAATTACCTCCGCGCGCGCGTGTGAGTGTGTGTGTGTGTGTGTGTGTGTGTGCAAGGTACATTACCATAAGGCGATGTTTTTTTTCGAATGTTGTCTGTACCTGGAGTGATGTATAGCAAATGTCAAGATGGCGTGCAGTGAGAAATATTAACACAGTAAGTAATCCCATTGGAGTTGAGACAGAGAGGTAATGCTGTCATTATAAAAGACCCTTGGCTTTTTCAGGGTTATACTATCAATGAATTATTTACTTAAGCTCGAATAGTGACACTGCATAAAATATATTTGTTAGCCAATGGTGTACTTTGTTTAACCATGACTGCTTTCCCATTGGTTGTGGTAAGTTTAACATCACCTGACCTTTTTTTGCAAAGAGATGACTCTGCAGAATGTTTACAGAGTCCCTTGATGTTTATGTTTATAGTCTCTTGATGTTTATGTTTACAGAGTCTCTTGATGTTTGTGTTTACAGAGTCCTTGATGTTTGTGTTTACAGAGTCTCTTGATGTTAGATCCTTGATGTTTATGTTTACAGTCCTTGATGTTTGTGTTTACAGAGTCTCTTGATGTTTGTGTTTAACCCACCATATACATAGTCCTTGATGTTTATGTTTACAGAGTCTCTTGATGTTTGTGTTTACAGAGCCCCTTGATGTTTGTGTTCACAGAGTCCCTTTATATAGGACGTGTAAATAAATCTGTCAAGGATTCCTAATATTTACAAGACTTAAGCAAACTTTCTTCGTGGTCTGAAAAATGGAAGATGAAATTTAATGTGGGAATGTAAATTACTAAAGCTGGGTGATATAAAGAGGGGACACCAGCTACCAGATGAACAACGTTGATATACAGAAATCCGACTGAGAAAGATGTATGAGTAATGATAAGCAGGAATATTAAACCAAGTCAACACTGTGTATTTGCTCGAAACAAGGATAACAGAGTACTTGGGTTCATACAAAGGAGTGTTAGTTACAAGACTAGCGAGGTCATCCTAAAACTATATCTTGCGCTTGTGAGACCTCACTTGGATTACGCAGTTCGGTTCTGGTCACCGTATTACAGAATGGATATAGAATCCCTAGAAAGAATTCAAAGGGGAATGACAAGACGAATCCAGGCATTAGGAACCTTGAGTACAGAGATAGGTTAAAACTTCTGAATTTACACTCCCTCGAGAGACGTAGAGTGCGGGGCAATAATTATGATCGAGGTGTATAAATGGAAGTCAGTAATATAACAAAGGTACTCAAACTATCCAACCAGGAGCGAACTCGTAACAATAGTTTCAAATAAGATAAATTTAGATTTAGGCGCGAGATAGGTAAACATTGGTTTGAAAATAGAGTAGTGGATGAGTGGAACAAGTTACCAAACATCATCATTAACTGGAATACGCTGGATAGCTTCAAACACAGGTTGATGGATATATGAGCGATAGGGGTTGGGTGTAAACGGGACTGCCCAGTATGGACCAATAGGCCCGCTGCAGTTTCCTCCATTCTTATGTGTATGTTACCAGTCACCTGATGTGTGTGTTACCAGAGTCACCTGACGTGTGTGTTACCAGAGTCACCTGATGTGTGTGTTACCAGAGTCACCTGACGTGTTAACAAGAGTCACCTGAGTGTTACCAGAGTCACCTGACGGGTTACACGAGTCACCTGACCACGTGTGTTACCAGAGTCACCTGACGTGTGTGTTCCAGAGTCCCCTGACGTGTGTGTTACCAGAGTCACCTGACGTGTGTGTTACCAGAGTCACCTGACGTGTGTGTTACCAGAGTCACCTGACGTGTGTGTTACCAGAGTCACCTGACGTGTGTTTTACCAGAGTCACCTGACGTGTGTGTTACCAGAGTCACCTGAGTGTGTGTTACCAGAGTCACCTGACGTGTGTGTTACCAGAGTCACCTGACGTGTGTGTTACCAGAGTCACCTGATGTGTGTGTTACCAGTCACCTGACGTGTGTGTTACCAGAGTCACCTGACGTGTGGAGTCTTGTGTGTTACCAGTCCCGACGTGTGTGTGCAGAGTCACCTGATGTGTGTGTTACCAGAGTCACTGACGTGTGTGTTACCAGGTCACCTGATGTGTGTGTTACCAGAGTCACCTGTGTGTGTGTTACCAGAGTCACCTGACGTGTGTGTTCCAGAGTCCCCTGACGTGTGTTACCAGAGTCACCTGATGTACAGAGCACCTGACGTGACGTCCCGACGTGTTCCAGAGTCCCTGAGTGTTACAAGTCACTGGGGCCAGGTGTGTACCAAGTCACTGTGTGTGTCAAGTCACCTGACGTGTGTTACCAGAGTCACCTGACGTGTGTGTTACCAGAGTCACCTGACGTGTGTGTTACCAGAGTCACCTGACGTGTGTGTTACCAGAGTCACCTGACGTGTGTGTTCAGCCCTGACGTGTGATTTAGCAGAGTCACCTGACGTGTGTACCAGAGTCACCTGACGTGTGTGTTACCAGAGTCACCTGACGTGTGTGTTACCAGAGTCACCTGACGTGTGTGTTACAGAGTCACCTGACGTGTGTGTTACAGAGTCACCTGATGTGTGTGTTACCAGAGTCACCTGACGTGTGTGTTACCAGAGTCACCTGACGTGTGTGTTACCAGAGTCACCTGACGTGTGTGTTACCAGAGTCACCTGACGTGTGTGTTACCAGAGTCACCTGACGTGTGTGTTACCAGAGTCACCTGACGTGGTTACCAGAGTCACCTGACGTGTGTTACAGAGTCACCTGAGTGTGTGTTACCAGAGTCACCTGACGTGGTGCAGAGTCACCTGACGTGTGTGTTACCAGAGTCACCTGACGTGTGTGTTACCAGAGTCTGACGTGTGTGTTACCAGAGTCACCTGACGTGTGTGTTACCAGAGTCACCTGACGGTGTGGGCAAGTCACCTGACGTGTGTGTTACAGTCACCTGATGTGTGTTACCAGAGTCACCTGACGTGTGTGTTACCAGAGTCACCTGACGTGTGTGTTACCAGAGTCACCTGACGTGGTGTTACCAGAGTCACCTGACGGGTGTTACAGAGTCACCTGATGTGTGTGTTACCAGAGTCACCTGACGTGTGTGTACCAGAGTCACCTGACGTGTGTGTTACCAGAGTCACCTGACGTGTGTGTTGCAGAGTCACCTGACGGTGTGTTACCAGAGTCCCCTGACGTGTGTGTTACCAGAGTCACCTGACGTGTGTGTACCAGAGTCACCTGACGTGTGTGTTGCAGAGTCTGACGTGTGTGTTACCAGAGTCACCTGATGTGTGTGTTACCAGAGTCACCTGACGTGTTTACCAGAGTCACCTGACGTGTGTTACAGAGTCACCTGAGTGTGTGTTACCAGAGTCACCTGACGTGTGTGTTACCAGAGTCACCTGACGTGTGTGTTACCAGAGTCACCTGACGTGTGTGTTACCAGAGTCACCTGACGTGTGTGTTACCAGAGTCACCTGATGTGTGTTACCAGAGTCCCCTGACGTGTGGTTCCAGAGTCACCTGACGTGTGTGTGTTACCAGAGTCACCTGACGTGTGTGTTACCAGAGTCACCTGACGTGTGTTACCAGAGTCACCTGACGTGTGTGTTACAGTCACCTGACGGTGTGTTACCAGTCACCTGACGTGTGTTACCAGAGTCCCCTGACTGTGTGTTACCAGAGTCACCGACGTGTGTATTAGAGTCCCACGTGACAACACCTGACGTGTGTGTTACCAGAGTCACCTGACTGTGTGTTACCAGAGTCACCTGACGGGTTTACCAGAGTCACCTGACGTGTGTGTTACCAGAGTCACCTGACGTGTGTTACCAGAGTCACCTGACGTGTGTGTTACCAGAGTCCCTTGAAATCACACATTCAAAATATCAATATAAACTTTCATCATTTCATGTCCTGTACATATATTAGAATGATGAATAACTGATTGAGTGATTGTGGTAATTACGTCGCCAGGGATGTAATTACCACATATAAACAATTAATTAATCATTCTGTCCGGTATGTATTAAGGCACAGGAAAAATTGTGAATAACTCTACATTATTGACTGGTGCCAAAAGAACAATGGTTGCGTACGAAGAAGTATATATACAGTACATGACTTGGGTGTGAGACTTTCCCGACGAATTCTGGAAACACAAACATCAAAGGGACTCAAAACCTCTCTCTCTCTCTCTCTCTCTCTCTCTCTCTCTCTCTCTCTCTCCCCCTCTCTCT